AACAGCAATCTGCAGAAAACCCAATGGTCATTTGTTTCGATTCAGCAGTACAGAGAGGGTTTTCCTGGACGGGAAATGGAAGGCTAAATGAGGTGTGGAGGAGCCCTGAGAACCTGCTTTTATATGCCTCGTGAGATGTTAGAGCAGTGGTGGCCAAACTTGGTCCTCCAGCTGTTTTGGGACTAAAATCCCCATCATTCCTGACCACTGGTTCTGTTAGCTAGGGATGATGGGAGTTGTCATCCCAAAACAGCTGGAGAACCAAGTTTGGCAACCCTGTGTTAGATGGTCAGCCATAGACATTAATGGAGACATTTGAAAGTTTGAATTGGGCAGATATGGCCATTATTATGGCCATTATTGATTTTCACAACAGATATATCAAATAAATAGTTGGGGGGAAAGACACAAATGGAGAGGGGACCCTCCAATTAATCCAATGCTCATTGAGCTCAATGGGATTTTGCAAAGTGACAGAGAAGAAACAGGGAACTGATTACTTGAAATACTCACTGTAATGAGTATGAGTTACTCGTGCATAAACTGGTGCCTCTTTAGGCTAATTTGCCTTATTAAACCTTTCTGACTGCACAGCCCTTTCTCATCGTGGCTGCCTCAGTCGCTGGCAGAATCCGTCAGTGAGCGTTTCTTGAACCTCTTCCAACATAAAAGTTGTTTGACACCCAGTCTCCTCCTCCTCTCACTGCGCGGGGGTCTTCTGCGCAGGGAGGGTGTGGGTAGCGGAGGACCTGTCCCCTCCTCACTGAGGTCCAGTGAAGAGTCCTGGAGCCCTCTCTCCAATTCCCCCATCTGCCCCCCTTTATCCCTGGTGTTGCGCTGATTTGCTTCCCCCTCTACTGAGCTGTTTCTCCCCCTGCTGCTGGGTCCTTCGCCAGCATCATCTAGGAACCTCCCCTTCACCTCTCGCTCCCATGTCAGTTCCCTGACACTCACCTATTGTTCCTGCCAAAACCCTGGACATTTGCCTCTATGTTCCAAGTATACATTTTGTGTTTCTTTGGATTTCAAGCATGGGCAAATTGCATCTAAGTTCGTTTGGCCACTAGTTCCTCTTTTGTCTTCTTGCTGCAACCTAGTTGCAAAACTAACCACCATTTCCCATTCTGATACAATCAGAACTTAGCTGTTAAGTGTGAAACAGAAATCTGATAACAGATGTCAGGGTCATGCCAGGACACCAAGAAGAATCTCAGTTGTGAATCTAAAGACTTCCTTTGATTTCTTGGTTCTCAGTTTCGTACCTATGATTTTCCAGCTTGGCACTTATGGTGGAGTAACTCAAAGGATAACAAAAACGAGGCAATATATTGGGAAAACAACAGCAGCAGTGTTAAAAAGTGTATGCAACTTTTGCATGGACAGGCAGAGTCCCCCCAACCCCAGGCAACCCATGCTATGGGATTACAATTGGCCACAACTTTATTAAATTTCAGGTGTAGGGAGACCTTGGCTCAGGCATTGGGCGTTTATCCTTCCCAGTCCGCAGCCGGGGATCTGGAAGACATCAGGGTTACCCAGAATGTGTGGGGATTGTGCTGGCTCTGGAGAACATATGTTCAAGCAGAGAGCCCGCCCCCTGTTTCGCCGCCGTTGTAGGGGACAGCAATGACAACCTCTCGGCATATGGCCAATGCCTCCCCTCAAGACCCCTTTAACAGGGAACCCTGGGATCACCGCTGCAAGGGGGGCCTGGGTCACCACTTCACACACACACCCCATTTAGGAAGATAGACTAAAGGATTCCGCCCAAGGCCTGAAACTGCCAAAGTTTTGACGTTTTGTTACTGGAAAGGCAAAACCTGCCAATGCTGGAAAATTCCTTTGCGGCCCTTCAACAGCGACCAAGACATAGCAGCGCCTGCATACCTGTGCAGAAGAGGTTAACTTGCAAAAGAAGACTTAACGGAGGGAGGGCAGGGTGGGAGAAGCTCTGGAATCAACTGACACTTCGCAGGTAGGATTCACCTTCTGTTGTGTGGGCAGGGTGGTCCCTCCCCTTACCTGGCTGAACCCCTTGTAACGCCTCCCCAGGCAGGACTGGGCAATTGGCTGAGGTAGGCGGAGACCTCCAGATATCCAGCCTGGGGAGGATGAAGCCAGCCCAAACTACCAAGGTCCGCACTGGGATCTGGGGGGGGGGGGGCTGTGTGCGACCACGCAAAAGGCACCCCCCAGTTGATGTGGGGAGCGGTCATTGTTCTTACTGGTCCAATTTAAATTCTCTTTTTCATCACTTTTTTTTTTAAAAAAATGAAAATCACAGACTGTGCAGCTATAATAAGAAGTGGTTCTGGAGAGGGGCTATAGTTTGGGGATTATAATACATATGTTACATGCAGTGGTGCCAAAATTTAATCTGTGGTGACTCTAGTTCAAGGGACCAAGGGAGGGGAAATCCTGGAGATCCTCTCCTTGAGATCCTAGAGGATCATTGAGAATGCTCCCCCCCCCCTTTACAGCAGACAGTGCTGACCAAGGGGATCAGAAAGTCCGACTTGGAATTACACATCTTGGTCTGTTTCTAAATCCACATATTAAATACACAGACAAACAATCCAGTCAACTACTGACATATGGGTGAAAAAATACACATTATTTTAACCTACAGTTTATTATACCCCAATTTGCTCTCTTCCATGCTCTCTAATCACAGAATGCATATAATGAAGAATAACAACAGGACCATTTATGTCACAAAGAAACTGGTTTTGCTTCAAGAGTAGTCCTCCTGCACGTTCACCTCTGCCACCCAATTATGGTCCCCCTCTTGCTCTTACAAATGAACTGCACCAACTTGAAACATTCGCATACCTGTGTCAGTCAGTTTTATTGCACATACCCAAAGGCTGCCGCAATGTACACAGAATCATTCAACAATTAAAAGGAAATATGCTGGATTAATTAAAAAACTTAAAACATTATATTATCAAGACATTACCTACTCTAAACAGAGCTATAGGTAAAGGTAAAGGGACCCCTGACCATTAAGTCCGGTCGTGGCAGACTCTGGGGTTGCGGCGCTCATCTCGCTTTATTGGCCAAGGGAGCCGGCATACAGCTTCTGGGTCATGTGGCCAGCATGACTAAGCCACTTCTGGCGAACCAGGGCTGTGCACAGAAATGCCGCTTACCTTCCCGCCAGAGCGGTACCTATTTATCTACTTGCACTTTGACGTGCTTTCGAACTGCTAGGTTAGCAGGAGCAGGGACCGAGCAACGGGAGCTCACCCCGTTGTGGGGATTCAAACCACCGACCTTCTGATCGGCAAGTACACAATAAATGATATGCATACAAGGTTGTATCAAACACAAGACACATCATAATAAGAAAATGATTAATAAAACAAGCCCTTCATAAAGGCCAACTCTTCAGCTGGCCTTTATGATGTGTTTTCTTCTTACAATGTGCCTTGTGTTTGATATCTATTTGTTGTACTATAGCAGCAGGATCAGTGGGAAGTGGAAAAAAGGTGGCTGGGCTTATGGACAAATACCTTCACACTCTCTCTGTCTATCTTTCACATGGGGAAGGGTGAACTGCTCAGCTCTGAATTGGCTTGGCTGTCCAATCAATCCAACACTCAGATGTCCGAATCATTCCCTTTCCTCACCATTCAGATTTTCTGACATCAATCCCCAAATCTATTCACAATCCTTGGGTTCACAATTCGTTCTCAATCCTTGGGTTCAATCCTTCTGCATCAGTCCAACAGCAAGTTAATTCCTCTGTTTTGAATAATCAGATTTACGGTACTTTCATTAATCGCACACACACGCAAAGAGAGAGAGAGATTGTAGGAGCTGGCTTGGAAAACAGTAATCTTTCTCTGTCACCCATCAGGGCTTTGTGCCATTCTGATGATGAGTGTTACTTGCTCAGGCTGATTTTTGGTTAGCCTTTTATGTGAGCAGCTTGCTGCCTCTCAGTTGCATTAGAGCCTTTGCACATTGTGATGGGTCACTTAGGTTGTGCCAGTGAAAAGCTAATCAGGTTAAGAGGAGCCCTAGTCATCATCTCCCCTGCTCAGAGGTGATTCTTTGCTCTGCAATGCAGACTGGACTGCATTGTTTCACCTGACTGCTTTATTCTCATGCCCCATCCCAATCTTTCTCAATAGAATGATGTGTCAAGGTGAGTCTTTATCCATGGCGATTTCGGTTCTTCACCATGCAAAGGAGTCCAGTGTATTCATCAAGATATAGGCTTGATGGCTAGCATTGAGTGGAAAGTGCATTGTGGCATGATATGGAACCATCTCCCCCCTGTATCCTCTGGTGTTTTTTTCAAAAACTTTATTGGAAAGATAGAGAAACAGTGATGTCATGAACCACATCTGCTAATTGTCACATTGCCCTATAAAAGTTAAATGGCAGAATTCTTTTTATTTCTATATGCACATAGTTATAATTTCTACATCACTACATCCATATAATAAGCAGGGATTTTTTTCAGCCAGAACTCACCGGAACTCAGTTCTGGCATCTCTCAGGTGGGTGCCATAAGAGAACAAGGGAGACCTTTATGGCGAGTTTCTGCAGCTCTTTTTCTAGAAAAATAGCAGAGCCAATAAGGATTGTACTGGTGGAATGTTCCATAATGCACTTTTTTAAAAATCTGGGGGAAATATTTTCTTCTGTTTTCTTCAAATATTTGAGCTCTACATGTGAAGATTTCTTTACTTTATTCCCTTTGGCAATGAATCTGTTTTCTATACCATTTAGCAAGTCATCCTTCTCAACTGAAAGTCTGTTGAAGTGGCATTTCTTTTTATTTCATTTTCTAAAACATACAAAATATTAATCCTGCCAAATGAGCAATCCATGGGGCTTTTAACGATACTCCTGAAACAAGGACAAAAATTAACAGAGTAAATAAATCCAAAATCATAAAATAGTGAGTACAGAGGAAAACAAATATCAAGAAATACACCAAGAGATAGAAAATGAAGCTTTCTGAACTTTTTTTGAAGTCTTCACATCCGGGTTTGAACTGGAACTTCTTGTTGCTCTCTGCAGTTTCCCTCCTCTTTGAAAAGTCTCTGGAGTATGACCTTCATGCTCTCCCTAGATTGAGCCCTCTTGTTTCTCCCAATCAGGAAATAAATCAGTGGGTTAATACTGCTATTCAGGCAGCTGCATAATAACCCAACAAATATTGCAAAAAAATTAACATTATAGTGCATAAGTAAAGTGGAAAAACTGATTAATAAAATGCAAGTAAATGGGAAAGCTAAGAAGAGGAAGAAAAGGAGGGCAAGCAGGATGGCTGTTAAAGCTTTTCCCTTCTTCCTCAGTTGTGATCTGAAGTAAACTTTTATAAACAGGACAAGAGTGGAAACAGTCATGAGTGCGAGGCAAAGTATAGCATTAATTAGAAGCAGATAGAAAAGGGCATTCATTGTATCTCTAAAATTAAAAAGAATCATGCTGATTACAGAGAGCAGGACAGAAATGATCCATATTGTGGCACACACAAGGGTGGAAAAGTGTGGTGGTCGGTGGCATCTATGCCAAAGTGGGAAGACGACAGAAACACACCTGTCCATGCTAATGGCTGTCAACAGATATTGACCAGTGTTGTACATGAACAACAACAAATAGTCGAATACTACTAACAAGTTCCTATGCAAAGATAAGAATAAAAATAAACTCAAAATTCTCATAATCGAAGAACAAGATAAGCTCATGAGAGCCCCAAGGTCAGCAACAGCCAGATGTAGTATGAAAGTGGTAAAAGGATTCCTCTTCATGCAAAAACCAAGAAACCAGATGACAGTTCCATTCCCCATAAGTCCAAAAATGCTAATAACTATAATTAAGAAATATAGAATAATTACTGCTATACGATTTAGTGATAATTTATGATCAAAACCATCCTGGGGGGTTAGGATGTCAGTTCCATTTTCTGCTCCAATGTCTTCCCATGAGGCATTCCGAGGGGACCAGGATCCCAGGCCATCATTGCTCATCTTGCAGGATCTCTACTTCTGAGCTAATCCTTCCATGACTTTTCCTACCAGGAGAAAAGAAACAAATGTGGAGTCAGTTTTGCCTACAAAGCTCAACCATATTAAAGTGAGACACTCATATAAGAAATAGAAATACTTTATTGTCACTATACCACTTGTTTACAGTGAGATTAAATGAGCCCCCCCTCCACAATCTCTCAGTCCTTGTTACACTCTGTGTGCTGTCGTACGACCACCAACCCCAAACGACAGCTGCAATGTTGCTGTCTTCCATTCAGCAGCCTCACAGCCCACGGGTAGAAAATGTTCTTTAGCCTGTTGGTGCAGCTTATCATGTGCTGGCCAGGGTGTGAGTCATCCCTTAGAATGTTCCTCACCCTTCTGAGACAACGGTCTCCCACAATGGCATCTAGCGGACTCAGGGGACAGCCCACAATATCGTGTGTTGTCTTAACCACCCTCCATAGGGACTCTGTCTATGGCTGTCAAACCAGCGTACCACACCATAATACAGTATGAGACTGATAGAAGGAAATCATCAGTTGCTGTCCAACCTTGTTCTTTCACAAGACGTTAAGGAAATGAAGTCTCTTTTGGGCCTTCCTAACCACCTGTTCTATATGACCTTCCAAGTTTGGTCTTCACTAAGATGGACTCCAAGGTATTTAAAGGAAGAGACTCTCTCCACATAGCCCCCCGTGATATGCAACGGGACTAGCTCCCCTCTCTTCCTCCAAAAGTCCAACACCATCTCCTTTGTCTTGCCAATGTTTAGGTGCAGATTGTTCTCTGAGCACCATGTGGATACCATTTGAACCTCCCCCCTGTACGCAGATTCATTTCCGCCTGTAATAAAACCCATTATGGTGGTGTCATAAGCAAACTTAATAATTGCAGTAGATGGGTCAGATGAAATGCAATCATATGTATGCAATGAATACAGGTATGGACTTAGCACGCGTCCCTGTGGAGTGCCAGTGCTGAGCTTCAGGCAGGTAGATGTAACAGGTCCAATCCTTACTCTTTGTGTCTGATCTCTCAGAAAGTCTTTAAGCATTTCATTTTTGAACTAAAATTCCCCTCTTCTGCTCTGTGAGTCAGACTTGACATCTCAAACTAACATACCGTGTCCTAAACCCTGGGAGTGGGATGGTGAGATGGGCTCAGTGCTTCAAATCTGGAGTGTAGAAGAGGAACGGGAGAAGGAGTTGAGCAGCTCTGGTGACCAGCAAAACAAAAGCCATTATGATTATTAGTACCCCACACATCTGACTGCTTTCCCCAGCCACAGTGGAAAGCTTTCAACATAAAAAAACCATAACAAAACGATGCTTTGGGAAGGCATGTGTAAGTTTGTACCATTATTAAAATGTGATATTTAACAAAACCAAATAAAATAAAACTCAACTGAAATCCACTGTCCTGGTCTCACAATAGCCAAACAGATGCTTAAGGGAAGCCTACAAACAGCTTCAGAACACAACAGCCATCTCCACTCCTGTGGTTTTCTACTGGCCCATCAGCTCTTTAATTTCCCAACCCACTAGGGGCAACTTTGAAGAGCAACCTGTTTTTTTGTTTTTGTTCTTTTACGGGACATGGGGACACTTCTGTTCAATCCCAAATACATTGACATATCCCTGAATATTCCTCAGATGAAAATAGGGTCATTTTTAATTCCTCTCCTATTGACCCTCCTCAATCCCCATTCTTTGTCTCTCACATAGCAATTCCTATCATAAGAAGGACAATTGCCACCACCAGTAAACTGTTGTATCCCTACTGTAGAGCACTTGTGAGGCAGATTATTGGTTTGTCCAGCCCAGTATTCCCTTCTCCGGGAATTCAACCTGGGCTTTTCTGCCTGAAATGCATGTACACTTCTGCCTTTGGTTCCTCTCCCACTTTTGCAAATGAACCATGTCAACTTGAGACATTCACATACCTGTCAGCAATTGTTGATCAGCGGTCTAAGAAAATGGTGAGTTGGAGGCAGCAAGAAGCAAAAAATCATGTGCTGGAATGAGGAGGTAGTCAGAAGATTGGCAGAATTGACTACAACCCCAAGGAGGATAAAATGGATGTATCACCAATCTCTCCGCAAGATGTTTAGGGCTCCACCCATTACTCTTCATCTGTTCTTAAGCAATTTGCCAACATCCTGTGGCAAGAAGAATTTTGTTCACTGGTTGTCAAGAAAGTTAAGAGGAGGTTCTTGCCTCCAAAGTCTTGATGTCATCGAGAAGCATTCTTGAGAAAAGTGAGGAAATAAGTTGCAAGGAACAACTGGGTGAGTGTCTGGGTTTCTTTGGGGGAAATGATATGCTTTGAATAAATGGTGTGTATGGAGCCCCACAGGTGTAACTATGGAACCTGGAAATCAGACCGGAGGGGGGGGGGCTTCTGAATGTCTAAGAGGGCCCAAATGGAGAACCAGGAGGGAGAGGAGAACAGAATGGAATGGCTGAATAAGATTTCAGGCACACATATGTATGTAAACATCTATGTAGAGTAAATAACATGGCACTTTCTGGCTGGATCATTTTCCTTGTTCAGATTGAGGGCTTGTCCACCTTCCACCAGTCCCATTCCAAAAAGGCACAGTTTCACGCAGTTTTCAGGTTCTTTCCAGGCACCGGTCCAAGTGACCTTGTCTTTGCTGTTCAGCTTTCCCCTGAAAACCATGCTCGTTCCCTCTGAATTGAAATGAACAGCAATCTGTGGAAAAACCCAATGGTCATTTGTTTCGATTCAGAAGTAAGGAGAAGGTTTTCCTGGTGGGAAATTGAAGGCCAAATGAGGTGTGGCAGAGCCCTGAGAACCTGTTTTTATATATCCCATGGGATGTTAGACGGTCAGCCATAGATATAAATGGAGACATTGGAAAATTTGTGTAGTTTGAATTGGGCAGATATGGCCATTATCTATTTTCACGATAAATATGTTAATTAAATGGCTGGGGAAAAGACACAAATGGAGAGGGGACCCTCCAAATTAATCCCTTGCTCATAGTGGTCAATAGGATTTTGGGAAATGACAGAGAAGAAACAGGGAACTGATTACTTGAAATACCCACCTATTGTTTCAGACAAAACCCTAGACATTTGCCTCTATGTTCCAAGTACAGTGGTACCTCAGGTTAAGTTCTTAATTCATTCCGGAGGTCCGTACTTAACCTGAAACTGTTCTTAACCTGAAGCACCACTTTAGCTAATGGGGCCTCCTGCTGATGCTGCGCTGCCGGAGCACAATTTCTGTTCTTATCCTAAAGCAAAGTTCTTAACCTGAAGCACTATTTCTGGGTTAGCGGAGTCTGTAACCTGAAGTGTATGTAACCTGAAGCGTATGTAACCCGAGGTACCACTGTATACATTTTGTGTTACTTAGGATTTCAAGCATGGGCAAAGTGCATCTAACTGTGCTGTTCGTTCTGCCGCTAGTTCCTCTTTTTTCTTCTTGCTGCAGCGTAGATGCAAAACTAAGCACCATTTCTCATTCTGATACAATCAGCACTTAGCTGTTAAATTTGGAACATAAATTTGATAACAGATGTCACCAGGTTGTGCCAGAGCACTAAAAATAAGCATATGTAGCTTTTGTTACTATTTATCCAATTTTGTTCTGTAGAGTAACACATCTGAATCTGTTCCTAAATCCACATATCAAATACACAAACCATCCAGTAAGTCATGGCTCACATATGGAAAAACAACAATGATATTTTAATCTACAGTTTATTGTGCCCTAATCTGCTCTCATCCGTGCTCTCTAATCACAGAATGCATATAGTAAAGAATAATAGGAATGCCATTTATGTCACAAAGGAACTGGTATCTCTTCAAGGGTATTCCTCCTGCATGCACACCTCTGCCAGCCAATTATGGTTCCCCTCTTGCTTTTACAAATAAACTGCATCAACTTGAAACATTTGCATACCTGTGAGAAACTCTTGATCAGCAGTCTTCAGAGATGGTGTGTGGAATGCAGAAGGAAGTAGAATATCCTGTGCTGGAATAAGTAGGGGGTCAGAGCATTTTCAGAAATGAATGTAGCTCCAAAGAAACAGGTGATGTTTTATCAAGCTTCCTGCAAGATGTTGAGGGCTCCACCCACTAATTTCTATCAGTTCTTCTATCTGTTCTTGTCAATATCATGAGGTAAGACCCCCCCCTGCCATTGGTTATCAAGATGGCTGGTGTAGGAGGAGATTCTTAACTGCATTCAAGGTTGTATCAAACATAAGACACATCAGAAGAAAATGATTCATAAAGACAAGCCCTCCACAAAGGCCAACTCTTCAGCTTGCTTTTATGATGTGTTTTCTTCTTACGATGTGCCTTGTGTTTGATATCTGTTGTACTATAGCAGCAGGATCAGTGGGAAGTGGAGGAGAGGTGGGTGGGCTTACGACAAATAACCTTCTATTCAGCTCTGCTTCCTCACTTCACACTCTCTGTGTCCATCTCTCACATGGGGAAGGGTGAACTGCTCAGCTCTGAATTTGCTTGGCTGTCCTATCTATCTAACACTCAGGTGTCAGAAGCATTCCCTTTCCTCACCGTTCAGACCTTCTGACACCAATCCCCAATTCTATTCACAGGATTTCCAGGATGTTTCCCAGCACAAATACCTTATTGTTGACATTTATTTTCTCCACTCTCCTACCTTATGGAGTATGGCTCACTGGCAATTTCTAATTAGCAAAATGCTTGACTTTCAGTCAGAGAGCCCCACAACCATCTCTGCATGAGCTGCTATGGCAGATATTATTTTTTAATAATAACAATAGCCAGGAAGAAAGTAAAGTGGTACCTCGGGTTAAGTACTTAATTCGTTCCGGAGGTCCGCACTTAACCTGAAACTGTTCTTAACCTGAAGCACCACTTTAGCTAATGGGGCCTCCTGCTGCCGCCTCGCCGCCGGAGCCCAATTTCTCTTCTTATCCTGAAGCAAAGTTCTTAACCCGAAGCACTATTTCTGGTTTAGTGGAGTGTGTAACCTGAAGTGTATGTAACCTGAAGCGTATGTAACCTGAGGTACCACTGTAAAAGAACCACAAAGAACAGCAGGTGTCACTCACCTGAGACCTTCGTCTATAGGACAGTATATAAATTCAACAAATAATAAAAATATATAAATCTGTGGTTGAAAAAAATGGAAAGAGGGTTTACCTCTATGTCTCCCCAGAGATATACAATATGTGGATATTAATAAATAGATTTATAATATTAAGATACTGAGTTCAAAGTAGAAGAAGTACCAAGAGATATAAGAAGAGATAGAAAATGAGGTGTTTTTTGGAGGAAAACTTAATCAGTTTTTTATTAAAGCCTTTGTGTTACAAAGCAAACAGATAAACATGGAAAGATACACCTGTCGTCTCCACTTTTAGTTCATAGTCTTTTTCATGGGTTGATTTTTTTTTAAGTCATCAGATTCAGGATTGGACCTGAATATCTCTCTTCTTTCTCCCATCTTCCTCCTCCTTGAAAACCCTTTGGATTATTACTTTCAAACTCTCCCTTGACCGACTATGTTTCTTTCTTCCAACCAGGAAATAAATCAAAGGGTTAACACTGCTGTTTAGGCAGCTGCATAGAGCCCAAGAAATATTAAGGTATCATTTCCATCTTTACTGGAAGAATAGATTAATAAAATGCAAGTAAATGGGAAACCTAATAAGAGGAAGAAGAGGAGGGCAAGTAGGATGGCTGTTAAAGCTTTCCCCTTCTTCCTTTGTTGTGATCTAAAGTAAACTTTTATAAACAGGACCAGAGTGGAAACAGTCATGAGTATAGCATTCATTAGAAGCAGGTAGAAAAGGGGATTTGTCGTAACTCTAAAAATAAAAAGAATCATGAAGATTACAGTAAGCAGGAAAGCAATGGTCCATATTAAGGCACACACAAGGCTGGAAAAGTGTGGTGGTCTGTGGCATTGATGCCAAAGGGGGGAAATTACAGAAACACACCTGTCCATGCTAATGTCTCTCTGTGTGTGTGTGTGAGAGAGAGAGAGGGGGGGGAGGGAGAGAGAGAACTACAGAATGCCTCCTTCCACCTGGTTCTTAGTTTTTTCCATTTAGTCATTCCATATCCCATTCCACTGAATTTTTTTCAGGTTCTTCTGGGGGTTTTATGCCCCTCTCAGCGCTACACAAAGCATGCCTCTTATGCAATGGTAGTATAGTTTTGGATACAGAAGCCCAAACATGGGAAGTATCAACTTGATATTACTGCACATGAGACTTAGATATGTGATATAGAAGACTCTGTATGAGAATGGTCTACTGGGCACATGTTCATGACCGTTAAATGCCAGGACATTGTTATCTGCCAACAGAGCTATCTTGTTTGAACTTCTGCAGAAGATAGTTGGGTGTTTCCTGTGAGAGGAGACAAGTTACAAAAGCATCTAACCCAAAACTTATATTATGGGGGAAAATAACTATATATACAATAATGATATGTAAAAGAATTCCAAAACATTATGGGGGTAATTAAAGTTCTGGACCTCAGACCACATCCAATTCTCAATCCTTGGGTTCAGTCCTTCTGCATCAGTCCAACAGCAAGTTAATTCCTCTCTTTCGAATAATTAGATTTACGGTACTTTCATTAATCGTGCGCGCACACACACACACACACAGACTGTAGGAGCTGGGTTGGAAGGCAGTAATCTTTCTCTGGCACCCATCAGGTGCTTTGTGCCATTTTGATGATGAGTGTTACTTGCTCAAGCTGATTTTTGGTTAGCTTTTTATGTGAGCATCTTGCTTCCTCTCAATTGCATTAGAGCCTTTGCACATTGTGGTGGGTCACTTAGGTTGTGCCAGTGAAAAGCTAATCAGCTTAAGAGGAGCCCTAGTCATCTTCTCCCCTGCTCAGCGGTGGCTCTTTGCTTTGCAGTGCAGAGTGGACTGCATGGTTTCACCTGACTGCTTGGATGATAGACAAAAGCATTCCAAAGTATTATGGGGATGATTGAAGTTCTGGACCTCAGACCACTAACCGCTCGTGTTGCAGACATTGAGGGTAGAATGGTTGGGTGGAGGAGAAGAGGAGGAGTGGGAGAAGGTGTTGAACAGCTCTTGTGTTTAGGAAAAGAAAAGCCAGAATGAATTGGGAAGGCATGTGTAATTTTATTGTTATTAAAATGTGATTTTTAACAAAAGTGTATGAATAAAACTCAAGTTGAATTGAGATTACTAAGAAATATGAAATTCAGAAAAAGACCCACAATAGATTAGCCAGAAAGCAAGATTTTTACAATGTGTAATGAATTAGACAAACCTTTAGTCCATCCTGCCTAGTACTTTCTGCTCTGACTGGATGTGGGAACCAAAAATTCCTGCCGTCTTCACCAGCCATCCACCCGGTATTCTTCTAACAGAACACTCCATGGAGTAAGCTTGTCCCACCTATCAGCCAAAGGTGCACTGCATTGTCATTCAGCTACAGATCCCCTCTTACCTTTGCTAATGAATGACATCAAAATTAGCAGTTCTCATAGCTCTCAAAAACTTTGGATCAGCATCCCTCCGGCATGGTGAGTGGGAGCAGCAAGTGGTGCTGGAATAACCAGGTAATCAGAAGATTTGCAGAAATTGTTAAGATGCCTCATCTGGTTCTTAGCAAGATGTGTAGGATCCTTCCTACGTGTCTTCAGTTCTGTGTAATCCATTTGCCAGCATCATGTTATAAGATGATTGTATTCCACATTGGGTCTCAGGATAGCATTTGACGAACTCAGGAGGAGATTCTTGCCTTCTAAAGTTCAGTGTACAAAGAAGGAACTCTCGAGAAGAGATTGTTTGCAAGTGGTAAGCAAGTCCCACTTCTCTTTGTCCCTCCTGCTGATACAGGAGCCCAAATATGGAAAGTAGCAACCTGATATTACTGCATATGAGACTAAAATATGTGATATAGAAGACTCTGTATGAGAATGGTCTACTGGGCACATGTTCATGACCGTTAAATGCCAGGACATTGTTATCTGCCACCAGTGCTATCTTGCTTGAACTTCTGCAGAAGATCGTTGGGTGTTTCCTGTGAGAGGAGACAGTTACAAAAGCATCAAACCCAAAAATTATATTATGGGGAAAATAACAATATATGCAAAAATGATATGCAAAAGCATTCCAAAACATAATGGGGTAATTAAAGGTCTGGGCTTCAGACCACATCCAGTTATCAATCCTTGGGTTCAATCCTTCTGCATCATTCCAACAGCAAGTTAATTCCTCTCTTTTGAAAAATCAGATTTACTTTCATTAATTGCACACACACAGAGAGAGAGGCAGAGCGAGAGCGAGAGAGAGACTGAAGGAATTGGGTTGGAATAATAATAATAATAATAATAATAATAATAATAATACTAATAATTTATTAATAACCCGCCCATCTGGCTTGGTTTCTCCAGCCACTCTGGGCAGCTTCCAACAAAGATTAAAAATACAGTAATCTTTCTCTGCCACCCATCAGGGCTTTGTGCCATTCTGATGATGAGTGTTACTAGCTCAGGCTAATTTTTAGTTAGCCTTTTCTGAGAAGCAGCTTGCTGCCTCTCAATTGCATTAGAGCCTTTGCACATTGTGGTGCGTCACTTAGGTCGTGCCAGTGAAAAACTAATCAGCTTAAGAGGATCCCAGTCATCTTCTCCCCTGCTCAGAGGTGACTCTTTGCTTTGCAGTGCAGAGTGAACTGCATGGTTTCACCAGCCTGCTTTATTGCGTGGACAGGCGGAGTTTCCAGATCCTGAGCGTTCCCCCCCGTCATGTGGAATAACAACTCAAGACAACGTGCTGTGGGATTAAATTGGCCACAACTTTATTAAATTTCAAATGTGGGTAGACCTTGGCTCTGGCATTGGGCGTTCTCCCTCCCCAGTCCCCAGCTGGGGACATAGGGAGCTTCAGGGTTACCCAGTGTGTGTGGGGGGGGGGGAATGGGCCGGCTCTGGAGAACATATGTTCAAGCAGAGATAGCCGCCCCCGTTACGCCGCCGCCGCAGGGGAGAGCAATGACGACCTTTCGGCGTACGGTCAAACCTCCCTTCAGAAACCCCTTTAACGGGGAACCCTGGTATCGCCACCGCAAAGAGGAAGATGGACTAAAGGATTCCGCCCAAGGCCTGATACCGCCAAAGTTGTGATGTTTTGCTACGGGAAAGGTGAAACCTGCCAATGCAGGGAAATTCCTTTCCGGCCCTTTAACAGCGACCTTAACGTAGCAGCGCCCGCATACCTGTGAAGAAAAGTTAACCTGCAAAACCTATGAAGAAAATCTAACCTGCAAAAGAAGACATTAACTGAGGGTGGGTAGGGTGGGAGAAGCTCTGGAGCCAAGTGAGGATTCCCAGGTAAGATCCTCCCTCTATTGTGTGGACAGGTAATCCCTCCCCTACCTGGCCTGGTCTCCTTGGCAACGCTTCCCCCAGGTGGGATTGGGCAACTGACTGAGGTAGGCGGAGACCTCCAGGTATCCCACCTGAGGGAAGGCAAAGCCAAGCCTATGCTGATGGGGCCGCTCCAGTCCACGCAAAGGGCGCCCCCCGTTGTAAGCGGGGAGCAGTCATTCTCATGCCCCATCCCAATCCTTCATAATAAGTGTTGACTAGAATGATTTGTCAAGGTGAGTCCTAATCCATTGTGATTTTGGTTCTTCACCATGCTAAGGAGTCTAGTGTAGCTTTGGATATAGGTTTGACGGCTAGCATTGAGTGGAAAGTGCATTGTGACATGATATGGAACCATCTTCCTCCTGTATCCACTGGTGTTTTTTTCAAAAAAATTATTGGAATGATAGAGAAGCATTGATGTCATGAATCACTTCTGCTAATTCTCACATTGGCCTATAAAGTTGTAGAAGGCATAACTTTGTGTGTTTTTATGCACATAGTTATAATTTTTATATCACTACATCCGTATAATTAAAAAAAGTGCTCTTTTTCAGGAGTAACTGACCGGAACTCAGTTCCAGCACCTCTCAGCTGCATGCTGTTGCAATTATAAGAGAACAAGGAAGTTTCTGCACCTCTTTTTCTAGAAAAATAGCACAGAAAATAGGGATTGTACTGGTGGAATGTTCTATCATGCACTTTTTTAAAAAATCTGGGGAAAATATTTTCCTCTGTTTTCTTCAAACATTCGAGCTCTACATGTGAAGATTTCTTTACTTCATTCTCTTTGGCAATGAATCTGTTTTCTATACCTTTTAGCAAGTCATCCCACTCAACTCACACTGTTAAAGCGGCATTTATTTTTATTTCATTTTCTAAAACATACAAAATATTAATCCTGCCCAATGGGCAATCCAAGGGGCTTTTAACGATAGTGCTAAAACAAGCTCAAAAATTAACAGAGTAAATGAATCCAAAATAATAAAATAGTGAGTACAGAGGAAAACAAGTACCAAGAAATACACCAAGAGATAGAATATGAAGCTTTCTGAGCTATCTTGAAGTATTTCTTCACATCCGGGTTTGAACTGGAACTTCTTGTTCCTCTCTGCAGTTTTCCTCCTCTTTGAAAAGTCTCTGGAGTATGACCTTCATGCTCTCCCTAGATTGAGCCCTCTTGTTTCTCCCAATCAGGAAATAAATCAGTGGGTTAATACTGCTATTCAGGCAGCTGCATAATAACCCAACAGATATTGCAAAAAAATCAACATTATAGTCTATAAGTGAAGTGAAAAAACGGATTAATAAAATGCAAGTAAGTGGGAAAGCTAAGAAGAGGAAGAAGAGGAGGGCAAGTAGGATGGCTGTTACAGCTTTTCCCTTCTTCCTCTGTTGTGATCTGAAGTAAAGTTTTATAAACAGGACCAGAGTGGAAACAGTCATGAGTGGGAGGCAAAGTATAGCATTCATGAGAAGGTGGTAGAGAATGGTATATGGTAGAATCTTAAAAATAGAAGCAATCAAGTTGATTGCAGTGAGCAGGAAAGAAATGATCCATATTGTGGCACACACAAGGGTGGAAAGGTGTGGTGGTCGGTGGCATCGATGCCAAAGTGGGAAAACGACAGAAACACACCTGTCCATGCTAATGGCTGTCAACAGATATTGACCAGTGTTGTACATAAACAACAACAAATTATCGAATACTGCAAACAAGTTAATATAAAAAGTGAAGAATGGAAATAAAGTCAAAATTCTCATAATCGAAAGAGGAGGTAAGCTCATGAGAGCCCCAAGGTCAGCAACAGCCAGATGTAGTATGAAAGTGGTGAAAGGATTCCTCTTCATGCAAAAACCAAGAAACCAGATGACAGTTCCATTCCCAATGATTCCAAAAATGCTAATAAGTACAATGGAGATGGAGATAAGAATGTCTGCTATATCATATGGTGATAATTGGTGATCGAAACCATCCTGGGGGGTTAGGAAGTCATTTTCATTTTCTGCTCCAATATCTTCCAATGAAGCATTCAAAGTGGACCAGGATCCCAGGCCATCATTGCTCATCTTGCTGTATCTGGACTTTTGGGCTTTTCTTGTATAGTTCTAACAAGAGAAAATAAACAAATGTGGAGTCAGTTTTAGCTGTAAAGCTCAACCATATGAAACTGAGACACTCAAACAATAACAAAAGAGACATGCTATAGTGGGAATTCATGACTGATGAACACTTTAGGAATATAGTCATTGGAATGTTTGCCACAACTTATCAGTTTCAAAGGCTCAGGGGGGAAATGGAGTTTGCCGATGTGTTGTGGATCTTTTGCTCTGAGTAAAAAAATGACATTCACAACATCAGTAAGCATATTGTTTTAGAACTCAAATTCTCCTTTTCTGCTCTCTGACTCAGCCTTAAGATCAGAAACTAACCTCTTGTGTCACGGACATTGGTTGGTTGGGTGTTGGTGAAGAGGAGTGTGAGAAGGAGTTGAACAGCTCTTGTGATTCGGGAAACAAAAGCTAGAATGAATTGGGAAGGCATGTGTAATTTTATTGTTCTTAAAATGTGGTTTTGAACAAAAGTGGATAAATAAAACACAAGTTGAATTGGGATTATTAAGAAATATGAAAATTAGAAGGAAAAAAACCACAATAGATTAGCCAGACAGCAAGATTTTTACAATGTGGAATGTATTAGACAAACCATTACTCTATCCTGCCTAGTACTTGCTGCTCTGACTGGATGTGGGAACCAAAAATCCCTGCCGTCTTCACCAGCCATCCACCTGGTATCCTTCTAACAGAACACTCCAGGGAGTTAGCTTACCCCCCCCTATAAGCCAAAGGTGCACAGCATTGCCATTCAGCTACAGATCCCCTCTTACCTTTGCTAATGAATGACATCAAAAGTAGCTATTCGCATTGCTCTCAAAAGCTTTGGATCAGCATCCCTCCAGCATGGTGAGTGGGAGCAGCAAGTGGTGCTGGAATAAGCAGGTAATAGGAAGATAATCAGAAATTGTTAAGATGCCTCATCTGGTTCTTAGCAAGATGTGTAGGATTCTGCCCATGTGTCTTCAGTTCTGTTTAATCCATTTGCCAGCATCGTGTGATAAGCTGGTTGCTTTGTGCATTGGGTCTCAGGATAGCATTTGGCAAACTCAGGAGGAGACTCTTGCCTTCTAAAGTTCAGTGCACCAAGCAAGCACTCTTGAGAAGAGAGAGTTTGCAAGTGGTAAGCAAGTCCAACTTCTCTTTGTCCCTATCTGGAGAAACATCTTTATTGATTAGACTGTCACCTGACCCATTAACAGAAAGACTAACCAGTGTATTCAGAGAGAAATCAGCTTGTGGTTGGTTCTGCAGGGGAAGAACGTAGGCTGGGGTGGAGAAATGTATCTGAAGAACAAAAAAGAGAGTCCTGCTAGATCAGTTCAGTGGCCCTTGTAGTCAATTGTCCTGGTCTCATAATGACCAAACAGATGCTTCAAGGAAGACCACAACAGCTTCTGAACACAACAGTACTCTCCTCCCCCGTGATGTCCTGCTGGCAGGCCTTAGTCACCTTAATTTTCCAACCCCCTTGGGAAAGCTTTGACATGTGTGGGAGGCCAATCTACTTTTTTTGGTGGGGCGTGGGAACACTTCTGTCCGATCCCATATGCACCAGTTCTTTAAAGCCTCTATTTATTGATATCAAGTACTCTTCATTTCATCTTGGCGACAAAGAAAAAAATAATTCTGTCTGAATAAGGCTGTAATCTAGCCAGATCAAGGGATTGTGTGTGTGTTTTGTGTGTGTGTGTGTGTGTGTGTGAGAGAGAGAGAGAGAGAGAGAGAGACCTACCGCATGCCGCCTTCCATCAAGGTCTAAGTTTTTTCCACACTCACTCATTCAATATCTCATTCCACTGAGTTTTCTTTGGGTTGTTCTAGGGGTTTTATGTCTTTTATGCTACAGCAGCTCAAACATGGGAAGTATCAACTCGATATTACGGCATATGTGATTGAAATATGTGGTATAGAAGACTTTGTATGAGAATGGTATGTTGGGCACATGCTCTTGAGGGTTGAATGCCAGGGCTTTGTTATCTACCACCAGATCTATCTTGCTTGAACTTCTGGGTGTTTCCTGTCAGAGGAGACAGTTATAAACGCATCAAACCCAAAACATATCATAGAATCATAGAATCATGGAATCATAGAATTGTAGATTCATAGAATCATAGAATCATAGAGTTGGAAGAGACCACAAGGGCCATCGAGTCCAACCCCCTGCCAAGCAGGAAACACCATCAGAGCATTCCTGACATATGGTTGTCAAGCCTCTGCTTAAAGACCTCCAAAGAAGGAGACTCTACCACACTCCTTGGCTGCAAATTCCACTGTCGAACAGCTCTTACTGTCAGGAAGTTCTTCCTAATGTTTAGGTGGAATCTTCTTTCTTGTAGTTTGGATCCATTGCTCCGTGTCCGCTTCTCTGGAGCAGCAGAAAACAACCTTTCTCCCTCCTCTATGTAACATCCTTTTATATATTTGAACATGGCTATCATATCACCCCTTAACCTCCTCTTCTCCAGGCTAAACATGCCCAGCTCCCTTAGCTGTTCCTCATAAGGCATCGTTTCCAGGCCTTTGACCATTTTGGTTGCCCTCCTCTGGACACGTTCCAGTTTGATCAGTGTCCTTCTTGAACTGTGGTGCCCAGAACTGGACACAGTACTCCAGGTGAGGTCTGACCAGAGCAGAATATAGGGGCACTATTACTTCCCTTGATCTAGATGCTATACTCCTATTGATGAGGCCCAGAATTGCATTGGCTTTTTTAGCTGCCACGTCACACTGTTGGCTCATGTCAAGTTTGTGGTCAACCAAGACTCTTAGATCCTTTTCACATGTACTGCTCTCAAGCCAGGTGTCACCCATCTTGTATTTGTGCCCAGTGGCGTAGCGTGGGTTGTCAGCACCCGGGGCAAGGCAAGTAATTTGCGCCCCCTAACACGCATGCCTGGCACCCCCCCTCCACAGTGGGCGGCGACCCGGCAGCTCGGATCGGATTCGCACAGCCAGCACTGCAGTGAGAGAGAGTGAGTGAGCCAGGTAGGGGCAGAGAGCTGCGAGTGCCAGCGCCCCCCCAGATGTTGCGCCCGGTGCGGCCGGCCCCCCTGCACCCCCCACGCTACGCCACTGTTTGTGCCTCTCATTTTTTTTGCCCAGGTGCAATACTTTACATTTCTCCCTGTTAAAATTCATCTTGTTTGTTTTTGCCCAGTTCTCTAATCTGTCAAGGTCGTTTTGAAGTGTGATCCTGTCCTCTGGGGTGTTAGCCACCCCTCCCAGTTTGGTGTCATATATAATGGGGCTGCCACCAACTTCAACTTTGGAACAAAGCCGAGAGCCTTAACAAGAATACGAAGAACGAAGGAGAGATCAAAGAAAGAGGACTGCACTTCAAAAATAATTGGATAGAGTATAATATGGAATAAGAAATGCCTCCTGTGTGTTCATAATCTAAGGAACTGTTTAGAAAGATAGTGAGTCACAGAAACAGCGACTGATGGATTTAGAAGATAAGCACGGTTAAAATCAGAGTTATGAAAATGGAAAATAGTGAAGAATGCAGAGACTTTAATGCGGACAATATCTGTAGACATCTGGAGCATGGGGAGTTCCCTTTTGAATTTTTTTAATAATTGGAATTTATCATTGGTGGTATTGCTATTATTGTAATATGGAATGATTTGCTTTGATTTGTCATTAATTGGAAGATTTTTAGGACAGTATATAAATTCAAAAAATAATATTAATATATAATTCTGCAGTTTAAAATAATGAAAAGAGGGTTTACCTCTATGTCTCCCCAGAGATATACAACCTGTGGATATTAACAAATAAATTTATAATAATAAGAGACTGAGTTCAGAGTAGAACAAGTACCTGTAACAGGTTTACGGGCGGTCGAAGTCCTGGTAGAGGGGGAAAAAATATCTGCTCAATCTGAATAAGGCTGAAATCTAGCCAGAACAAGAGATAGTATTTCTTTCTCTCTCTCTCTCTCTCTCTCTCTCTCTCTCTCTCTGTGTGTGTGTGTGTGAGAGAGAGAGAGAGAGAGAGAGAGAGACCTACATCATGCTCTCTTCCACCTGGTTCTTAGTTTTTTCCATTCAGTCATTCCATACCCAATTCCACTGAATTTTCTTTGGGTTATTCTGGGGTTTTTATGCCCCTCTCAGTGCTACACAAAACATGCCTCTTATGCAATGGTGGTATAGTTTTGAGTACAGGAGCCCAAACATGGGAAGTATCAGCTTGATACTACTGCACATGAGACTTAAATATGTGATATAGAAGACTCTGTATGAGAAGGGTATACAGTGGATGCTTGGGTTGTGAATGTGATCCATGCAGGATGCACTTTCGCAACCCGCAGCATTCGCAACCTGCAGCAGTGCGTCTGTGCATGCGTGGGTTGCGATTCGGTGCTTCTGCGCATGCGCAAAGCATGATTTAGCGCTTCTGCGCACACGCAACCGCCGAAACCCAGAAGTAACCTGTTCCAGTACTTCCGGGTTTTGGCATATGGGTAACCCCAAAAAACACAACTTGAAGCATCTGTAACCTGATGTATGACTGTACTGGGAACATGTTCAGGAGCGTTAAATGCCAGGACCTTGTTATCTGCCACCAGAGCTATCTTGCTTGAACTTCTGCAGAAGATAGTTGGGTGTTTCCTGTGAGAGGAGACACTTAGAAAAGCATCAAAACTAAAACTGATATTATGGGGAAAGTAACTATATATGCAGTAATGATATGCAAAGGCATTCCAAAATATTATGGGGATGATTGAAGATCTGGATCTCGACCAGATTCAGTTCTCAGTCCTTGGGCTCTATCGTTCTTCAGCAGTCCAACAGCAAGTTAATTCCTCTCTTTTGAAGCATCATATTAACGTTCATTAATCACACATACACACACACATAGAGAGAGAGAGAGAGAAAGACAGTGCTCGCTTCGGCAGCACATATACTAAAATTGGAACGATACAGAGAAGAGAACCCCCCCCCCCCCGTATCCTCTGGTTTACCCCAAAAAAACTTTATTGGAAAGATGGAGAAACATTGATGTCATGAATCACTTCTGCTAATTGTCACATTGCCCCATAAAGGTGTAGATGGCAGAACATTGTATATTTTTATATGCACATAGTTATAATTTCTATATCACTACATCCATATAATAAGCAGTGCTCTTTTTCAGCCATAACTAACTGGAACTGAGTTCCAGCGCTTCTCAGGTGCATGCTGTTGCAATTATAAGAGAACAAGGGAGGCCTTTATTGTGAGTTTCTGCACCTATTTTTCTAGAAAAATAGCACAGAAAATAGGGATTGTACTGGTGGAATGTTCTATCATGCACCTTTTATAAAATCTGGGAGAAACATTTTCTTCTGTTTTCTTCAAACATTCGAGCTCTACATGTGAAGATTTCTTTACTTCATTCCTTTTGGCAATGAGTCTGTTTTCTATACCATTTAGCAAGTCATCCCACTCAACTCACACTGTTAAAGCGGCATTTATTTTTATTTCATTTTCTAAAACATACGAAATATTAATCCTGCCCAATGGGCAATCCAAGGGGCTTTTAAGGATACCCCTGAAAAGAGGACAAAAATTAACAGAGTAAATGAATCCAAAATAATAAAATAGTGAGTACAGAGGAAAACAAGTACCAAGAAATACACCAAGAGATAGAAAATGAAGCTTTCTGAGCTATCTTGAAGTATTTCTTCACATCCAGGTTTGAACTGGAACTTCTTGTTCCTCTCTGCAGTTTTCCTCCTCTTTGAAAAGTCTCTGGAATATGACCTTCATGCTCTCCCTAGATCGAGCCCTCTTGTTTCTCCCAATCAGGAAATAAATCAGTGGGTTAATACTGCTATTCAGGCAGCTGCATAATAACCCAACAGATATTGCAAAAAAATTAACATTATAGTCTATAAGTGAAGTGAAAAAACTGATTAATAAAATGCAAGTAAATGGGAAAGCTAAGAAGAGGAAGAAGAGGAGGGCAAGCAGGATGGCTGTTACAGATTTCCCCTTCTTCCTCTGTTGTGATTTAAAGTAAACTTTTTTAAACAGGACCAGAGTGGAAACAGTCATGAGTGGGCGGCAAAGTATAGCATTCATTAGACGGTGGTAGAAAATGGTATCCTTGTAACGCAGACAATTAGGAAGAAGCCAGCAGATTAAAGTGAGCAGGAAAAAAGTGATCCATGTTGTGGAACACAGAAGGGTGGAAAAGTGTGGTGGTCGGTGGCATCGATGCCAAAGGGGAAAGACAACAGAAACACACCTGCCCATGCTAATGGCTGTCAACAGATATTGACCAGTGTTGTACATGAACAACAGCAAATACTCAAATACGGGGAACAAATCAATATACAAAGGTAAGAATGAAAATAGTTTCAAAATTCTCAGAATCAAAAAAGAAGATAAGCTCATGAGAGCCCCAAGGTCAGCAACAGCCAGATGTCGTATGAAAGTGGTGAAAGGATTCCTCTTCATACAAAAACCAAGGAACCAGATGACAGTTCCATTCCCCATAAGTCCAAAAATGCTAATGACTGAAATTAAGACAAGCTATACGATATGTTGATAATTCATGATCAAAACCGTCCTGGGGGGTTAGGAGGTCAGTTCCATTTTCTGCTCCAATATCTTCCCATGAAGCATTCAAAGAGGACCAGGATCCCAGGCCATCATTGCTCATCTTGCTGGATCTCTGCTTCTGAGCTACTCCTTCCATGGCTCTTCCTACCAGGAGAAAAGAAACAAATGTGGAGTCAGTTTTGGCTACAAAGCTCAACCATATTAAAGTGAGACACTCATATTAGAAATAGAAATACTTTATTGTCACTGAACCACTTGTTTACAGTGAGATTAAACCAGCCCCCCTCCCCCCACAATCTCTCAGTCCTTGTTACACTCTGTGTGCTGTCGTACGACCACCAAACCTGAACATCAGCTGCAATGTTGCTGTCTTCCATTCTGCAGCCTCACAGCCCACAGTTAGAAACTGTTCGTTAGCCTGTTGGTGCAGCTTATCATGCTTCTATATCTCCTGCCTGAGGGCAGGAGATTTAAAAGGTGCCGGCCAGGGTGTGAGTCATCCCTGAGAATGTTCCTCGCTCTTCTGAGGCAACTGTCTCCCGCGATGAAATCTAGCGGACTCAGGGGACAGCCCACGATATCATGTGATGTCTTCACCACCGTCCGTGCGGACTTTGTCTATGGCTGTCAAACCAGCGTACCACACCATAATACAGTATGAGAGAACACCTTCTATCATGGACCGATAGAAGGAAATCACCAGCTGCTGTCCAACCTTGTTCTTTTGCAAGACCCTAAGGAAATGAAATCTCTGCTGGGCCTTCCTAACCACCTGGGTTGTATTGACCTTCTAAGTTACGTCTTCACTAAGATGGACTCCCAGGAATTTAAAGGAAGAGACTCTCTCCACACAGGCCCCCATGTTATATAACGGGGCTAGCTCCCCTCTCTTCCTCTGAAAGTCCAACACCATCTCCTTTGTCTTGCCAATGTTTAGGTGCAGATTGTTCTCTGAGCACCATGTGGATACCTTTTGAACCTCCCCCCTGTACGCAGATTCGTCTCCACATGTAATTAAACCCATTATGGTTGTGTCATCAGCAAACCTAATAATTGTGGTAGATGGGTCAGATGAAATGCAATCATATGTATACAACGAATACAGGTATGGACTTAGCACGCATCCCTGTGGAGTGCCAGTGCTGAGCTTCAGGGAGGTAGATGTAACAGGTCCAATCCTTACTCTTTGTGTCCGATCTCTCAGAAAGTCTTTAATCGAATCACAGATGTTAGAAGAAAGGTCCAGGTCCCATAACTTTCCGATGAGAATGTCCGGAAGGACGGTATTGAAAGCCGAGCTATAATCAATAAACAGCATTCTGACATAACTCCCTGGTCTCTCCAGATGACTCTCTGCAAGGTGAAAAGCTGTAGCAATGGCATCATCTGTTGACCTATTTCTCCTATAGGCGAACTGGTGTTTATCAAAGCCCGGTGGAAAACATGTTCTCAGGTGTCTCTCGAAACATTTCATCACTACAGATGTTAATGCAATGGATCTATAGTCATTTAGGCAGTTAATTGCTGCTTTCATTGGAACTGGGATAATGGTGGCTGCTTTCAAACATGATGGAACACAAGCGGTTTGCAGAGAGATGTTAAAAATCCTCGTCAAGACCCCTGCTAATTGATCGGTGCAATTTTTTACCACTATTCCCAGCACCCCATTTGGGACAGCAGCTTTGCAGGGATTGACCGCCCGCAATGCAGCTTTTGTCCTGGAATGAGGAGGTACCAGGAAGATTGGCAGAATTGACTACAGCCCCAAGGAGGAGAAAATTTCACCAAGCTCTCCGCAAGATGTTTAGGGCTCCACATATTACTCTTCATCTGTTCTTAAGCAGTTTGCAAATATCCTGTGGCAAGGAGAATTTTGTTCATTGGTTGTCAAGAAAGTTAATTTAAGAGGAGGTTCTTGCCTCCAAAGACTTGGTGTCATAGAGAAGCATTTTTCAGAAAAGTGAGGAAATAAGTTGCAAGGAACAACTGGGTGAGGGGTAAAACTACCGTGTCTGGGTTTCTTTGGGGGAAATGATATGCTTTGATTGCAGGTGTAACTATGAAACCTGAAGGGGGGGGGCTTTTGAATGACTAAGAGGGGGACAATGGTTAACCAAGTGGGAGAGGAGAACAGAATGGAATGGTTGGATGCAATGGCACACACACACACAAACGTATGTAAAGATCTATGTAGAGTAAATAACATGGCACATTCTGGCTAGATCATTTTCCTTGTTCAGATTGAGGGCTCGCCCACCCTTCCACCAGTCCCATTCCAAAAAGGCACAGTTTCACGCACTTTCCAGGCACTTTCCAGGCAATGGTCCAAGTGACCTTCCATTTGATGTGCAGCTTTCCCCTGAAAAACGCTCTCGTTGTCTCTGAATTGGAATGAACAGGAATCTGCAGAAAACCCAATGGTCATGTGTTTCGATTCAGCAGTAAAGAGAAGGTTTTCCTAGTGGGAAACGGAAGGCCAAATGAGGTAGGGAGGAGCCCTGAGAACCTGAGAATTCATGACTGATAAACAAACAAACAAACAAACAAACAAACAAACATGTGAGAAATGTTTGTCAAACCTATCAGCTTCAAAGGCTTGCGGCGGGGTGCAGTTCGCCAATGGGTTATGGATTTTTCCTCCAAATAAAAAAATCTGCAGGCACAGCATCGGTAAGCATATCATTTCTGAACTAAAATTCTTATATTCTGGTCTCTGACTCAGCCTTAAGATTGGAAACTAACCTCTTGTGTCGTACACATTGAGGGTGGGATGATTGGGTGGTGGAGAACAGGAGTGGGAGAAGGAGTTGAACAGCTCTTGTGATTAGGAAAGCAAAAGCCAGAATGAATTGGGAAGGCATCTGTTTTTGATAATTATTAAAATGTGATTTTTTTAAAAAAGTGGATAAAATAAAACTCAAGTTGAATTGAGATTATTAAGAAATATGAAAATTAGAGGAAACCCCCCCCCCCACAATAGTTTAGCCAGACAGCAAGATTTTTATAATGTGGAATGTATTAGACAAACCATTACTCTATCCTGCCTAGTACTTTCTGCTCTGACTGGATGTGGGAACGAAAAATTTCTGCCGTCTTCACCAGCCATCCACCTGGTATCCTTCTAACAGAACACTCCAGGGAGTTAGCTTGTCCCACCTATCAGCCAAAGGTGCACAGCATTGTCACAGATCCCATTCAGCTACAGATCCCCTCTTACCTTTGCTAATGAATGACATCAAATTTAGCTATTCACATACCTGTCAAAAGCTTTGGATCAGCATCCCTCCGGCATGGTGAGTGGGAGCAGCAAGTGGTGCTGGAATAATCAGGTAATCAGAAGATTTGCAAAAATTGTTAAGATGCCTCATCTGGTTCTTAGCAAGATGTGTAGGATTCTGCCCATGTGTCTTCAGTTCTGTGTAATCCATTTGCCAGCATCGTGTGATAAGCTGGTTGTTTTGTGCATTGGGTTTCAGGACTGCATTTGACAAACTCAGGAGGAGATTCTTGCCTTCTAAAACTCAGTGTCCCAGTCAGGCACTCTTGAGAAGAGAGAGTTTGCAAGTGGTAAGCAAGTCCAACTTCTCTTTGTCCCTATCTGGAGAAATATCTTTATTGATTAGAGTGTCACCTGACCCATTAACAGAAAGACTAACCAATGTATTCAGGGAGTAATCAGCTTGCGGTTGGGGAAGAACGTAGGCTGGGATGCAGAACTTTATCTGAAGAACAAATGCAGAGTCCTGCTAGATCAGTTCAGTGGCCCCTGCAGCCAATAGTCCTCGTCTCACAATGGCCAGACAGATGCTTCAAGGAAGCCCACAACAGCTTCTGAACACAACAGTACGTTCCTCCCACATGATGTTCTGCTGGCATGCCTCAATCTCCTTAATTTTCCAACTCCCTTGGGACGACATTGACATGTGTGGGAGGCCAACCTGCTATTTTTGGTGGGGTGTGGTCACACTTCTGCACAATCCCAGATGCATCAATCCTTTAAAGCCTCTAATTTTTTTGGAGTACTCTTCATTCCATACTGGCGACAAGGAAAAAATAAATTCTCTTTCTGAATAAGGCTGAAATGTAGCCAGACCAAGAGATGGTATTTCTCTCTCTCTCTCTCTCTCTCTCTCTCTCTCTGTGTGTGTGTGTGTGTGTGTTTATGTGTATGAGTATAAGTATGAGAGAGAAAGAGACCTACTTCATGCCCCATTCCACCTGGTTCTTATTTTTTTCCATTCAGTCATTCCATATCCCATTCCACTGAATTTTCTTCGGGTTGTTCTGGGGTTTTTATGCCCCTCTCAGCGCTACACAAAGCATGCCTCTTATGCAATGATGGTATATTTT